GTGAAAGGAGAATGTATGTGTGTGTGAGAGTAGAAATGTATGCATGTGTAAGGAGAATGTAAGTGTGTGAAAGCAAAAATATATGTATGTGAAAGGAGAATGTAAGTGTGTGAGAGTGCCAGAATGAATTATGGCTTGTACAGCCCCTCATACACACTCGTAGCCGTGAGATATGGCTGTATATTGGCAGCTGTGATTAGGCCATAGCAAGGTGACATAGGTAATCACAGCGTGCCAATATACAGCCATATCTCATATCGCACGAATGTGAAAATACAAAAGAAACAATAATGCAGTGTCTTTAAAATCCCTTTTTTGTGCAGAACTACTTCGGCCACTGATGTCCTGGAGCTCACATCTTCATCATCTGAAAGCTGAATACTGGTTTTGTGCTCCAGGGTCACATATATGTTATCTTTATCAACAAAGTGCATATTTATCTAAACAAGTACATTCTCGCATAATAAACTCCTACTACATTCTGTGACACAAAAACAGTATTATTTTTAAAATTATAGTGGATTTGGGCTTCCGCCATGATGACCAGAAATAACTGTTGTATAAATATATATAAACTTATCTATTCTAACATATCTAAACATATCAAAGTTCTGATCGAATGGAAATAAATAGAGATGAGCTCATAGTGGTTGTTTGGTTTGTTTTATTTCAGTTCAGTGTTAACACATTTGTCATGATGTTTCTAAAGATCTGGCTGCAGGTTTCAGGAAGTCTTGAGGCTTTAACACAATCTGTGTCTTTAACCGTCTGTCATCATTCAGTCAGTATGGAGCTCAGTCAACTTCCTCTTGTGCTCTGTGAGTATTATTTTCTCTATGTGTATTTCAGTTGACGATAATTACTATTATATTATGTAAATGATCAAGTGTTTTAGTGTTCACGGATTTATGTCTTTTCTTGCTGCTCTCAGAGTTTCAAATCCAGCTGTAGTCCATGACATATGAGTAAAAGATGAGTTAGTGCTGTTTGTAAAGAAAAATGCACTCTGTTTGTTTAAATCAGTGTGTTTGTTCAGTCATTTAGTTTCATGTTTTTTATTAGTGTTTGTTGAATCAGTTCTGTTGGTTTGTTTCTCATAGTTTACTGTCCATGATGAATTAAGCAGATATTTATGCATTTAGTAAGAGCGTGTTTTATTCCTCTGCTTTTGATCAAATTGTTGCTTCAGGTTTCCTAAATAATTTCAGGCCTACTCTACTATGATCTATAAAATATCAAACAGATGTTTTAATGTTTATCTGAAACCATATGCATGCTGTCCCCATACGATATATTAATTTGAGTTCATCTTTAGAATTTTATAACTCCGTAAAAAAAAAAAAACCTCTTGGTTCCTTAAAGGATTAGTTAACTTTTATAAATATTTCCTGATAATTTACTCACCCCCATGCTATCCAAGATGTTCATGTCTTACTTTTTCAGTTGAATTGGATTTTTCTCCATATAGTGGATATTAATGGCGGCCAATGGGTTGAAGGTTCAAATTGCAGTTTCAATGCAGCTTCAAAGTGCTATACACTATATATATATATAATATAAAGATATACTTTTTAAGCACAAATGCTCGTCTTGCGCTAGCTCGACCTCACGCATTACGTAATCATGTTCGAAAGGTCGAAACTTACCAACCCAGTGTTTTCAAAGCGAACATGCAAAGAAAGTCAAACACCCTTTACAAAAAAAAAAGGAAAATAACAATGTCGGACGATTTAGAGGTTAGAGGAGAAAATGAGTTGGAGTTTTTCGCCATACCCTACCATTTTGAACCGAAGTACACAGATGAAGAACTAACCACACGTGACCTTTCCAATGTGATTACATAATGCATAAACCTTTGAGAAACATTTGAGAGTAAAATGATGGTGATTCAAGAAGGAGAGAAAGAAGAATATACCTTTATAATATGTCTGATGTATAATACACAGTTGATCAGCTTCATGTTCACACTATAAACATGAAGTGGGGAAGTCGTGGCCTAATGGTTAGAGAGTCGGACTCGTAACCCAAAGGTTGCGGGTTCGAGTCTCGTACCGGCAGGGATTGTCGGTGGGGGGAGTGAATGTACAGCGCTCTCTCTGTGTGTCTTCACTACTGTGTGTGTGCCCTTTGGAGGGGTTAAATGCAGAGCACTAATTCCGAGTATGGGTCACCATACTTGGCCACATGTCACGTCACTTTCACTTTTAATGACTTTTTTTCTTTGTGTTTTTAGTGCTGATTTCAAACATTCACTCTGAAGGTGAGTGAATTTGATTAATTTATTTCATAACATACAGTTGATTCTACACTGTTACAAACCAGATGAGAAATTAGTGTTTTGATTATAAAAACACAGGGTTGTAGCGGTACACAAACAAGACAGTTCGGTACGTACCTCGGTTTTGACGTCACAGTTCGGTATGTTTCAGTACAGCAGGAAGAAAACACACAAAAAAATTTTTTTTATTAAACAATGGTTTACTGAACAAAATGCTTTTTCTTTAAATAAATTCAATTGCAATTACAATTTTCTTATGGATAAAAATCTAATATTTTAAATATATTTATTATTATTACTATACTATATAGTCTAATATTTTGCAAAATGATCTTCTACATGTAATATTGTTTACAAGCTGTTTTATTGAAATCTTTCCGCAACTGAAACACTGATTGAGTGATTACATGAGATGTTAATTCATGGCTGTTTCACGTAGTAGTAAGTCACACCATTTTCGTGAATATAGACAGTTCTAAAGTGTGACAAAAATAACGCCAAAAATATTTGCATACAAAAATTAAAATTAGTAACTCTATGAACACCACAAACATTTAAACAAAATGAATAAAATGATATAGAGTTACAGGACCTGCAATAGCCAAATGCTTTGAACTACCACAACAATTTGCAACACTTTGTTGAATGTTGCAGTAGCCCCTCACTGCAGAACAAAGATCCAGGGGGCGTGGTTGGATCCACATCTAGGGGGTGGAGATGGGTAGGTTTAGGGGTGGAGATGGGTGGGTTTAGGGATCAGGGGGTGGAGACGGGTAGGTTTAGGTATATGTAAGGTGGGAGGAGTTGGATCTGGAACCTCGCTCCCTGGATCTTGTGTTCTGCAGTGAGGACCATCTCGAATGTATGTAGGTAGTGTGAACCCCAACTATGGGTGACTATAAAGTTGCAGAAACCTTTTTTCCTTTTAATTCTTTGCATTATGCTACACAAATGTTGACCACTCTTGTCTCTGTATTTGCTGCTAGCAGCTTTATACATTCTCTGTGAAATCGAAATGCACTGATTTACCAGTAAGCGGATGAGATCTTCTGCTCAAAAACTTTCAAACTTTCACAACTCATGCTACTTATGATTTTATAGTAACAGGTCTTACTCAACCAACTCTGACTGTGCGGCCACAGAGTTCATTGTTCACTGGAGACTCAGTTACTCTGAGATGTGAGGTGGATCAGTCATGGGATGGATTGGAGTTTCTCTGGTGTAAAGACTCAAACACTGAATCTACTGAAGCTGCAACGAAAACAATCGATTCAGTTAAAGTGTCTGATGGAGGAGAATACAGGTGCAGATCACGAAGAGGAGGACTTTACACGAATTATAGTGAACCAGTAACACTGACAATATACGGCAAGTATTTTGCTCACATAATGAACTGCTCTGAGAACACAATGAAAATAATTAATAAGACACTGAATCAGTGACTATAACACTTCACTGTAACCTGATTTAGCATGTGTGTTTTACAATCAAGTAACTCTATTCATATAGTAAAAACAGCACATTGTTGTCATTGTACAGAAAGACCAAAAGCCAAAGTGAGCATCAAACCTGATCAACATGTATTCAAAGGAGAGACAGTCACTCTCAGATGTAACATTGATGGTGAAGCAGCCACCAGCTGGATGTACAGCTGGTATAAAGACAGTTCAGTCAGTGTTTTCAGTGAACTACAGGAACACACATTCAGGTTTGTTACTGAGTCTGATGCAGGTAAATACTCCTGTTATGGAGCAGAGAGAGGAGGATCACGAACATCAAGCATCAGTGATGCCAATACACTGACAGTATCAGGTGAGTTTGATCATCTCGTCATACACTCAACATGTTATTAATAAGCAATTATCTTTTGCTCCTTTAAATTTTGCTTGCTTCTTTCATTAATTTTTTTTTGTCTGACATGGTGTTCAAACAAAGTCTCACAAAAGTTGGCTGGATTTGATTTTAACATCCATTAACAATTTACATCCCAAGAAGGTAGTCATGTTGTTTCTTGGAATAAAACGTCTCGGTTAAGTATTGTAACCCTCGTTCCCTGAAGGAGGGAACGGAGACGTCACATCGGATGACCGACGAATTGGGTTCTTGCTTAGAGAGACCAATCCACTTAGAGTGTAATCTAAACGAGCCAATGCACATTTGCATGCGATTATTGCATCCCGTGGAAGCCTCTTGCTCCACTATTTTTTGGCGCAGGCCAGGGCTTACCACAAGAAGACCAGCTACTGCTGCTATGGCACTACCCACTCAGTAGGACTGGATAACACTGGGAAAACGTACCCATACCACTCGGGACAGGAACGTTGCGGAAGCCCCATCCTTCCCAAAGGAGGTTTCGGAAGCACTTACACATATGAACTACTGTTTAGGCGTATATGGAAGATTAGAGGTGATTGTAACCCTCTTGGAAAAATAGCAAAAAGTCTGCCAGGGAAACACGGGCTCTGAGGCTATACCGTGTATTTTACACATATGAGATCCACTTAAGTCTCTACATATGGAACCCAGCCCTCCGGCGGTTCTCACGGATTCATCGAGTGAGGGCCTGGCGCCGGACTCTCCGCCACGTCGGGTCGTGGTTGGCAGCAATCGCAGCCATAGGGGCTGTCACGAGGAGCATCAGTTCCGGGAACCAAGTCCGAGTGAGCCAGTAAGGCGCCACGAGCAGGACCTGCTCCTCATCCTCCCTGAGGCTCACTGGGGGAAATGCATACTTGCGCAGGCCCCGCGGCCAGCTGTGTGCCAGATTCTGACTCCAGAGGAGGAGGTGGCGGGCGAGTTGCGACATGCGCTGGGAGTGTAGACCACCTTGTCAATTGATGTACGCCACGGTCACAGTGTTGTCCATGCGGACTAGTACGTGCTTGCCTCGTAAACGCCCTTTGAGACGGATCGAGGCAAGGTGAGCTGCCAGCAACTCTAGGCAATTGATGCTCTAGGCCAGTGCAGTTGGGGGCCCGTCCAAACCCCTGACACTACAAGCCCATCGAACGTAGCCCCCCCGGCCGGTGGTAGAGGCATCTGTGTGAACCACAGCATGCCTGGAGACCTGTTCTAGGGGCACTCCTGCCCATGGGGCCCCGTCCAAACCCCTGACACTGCAAGCCCGTTGTACGTGGCCCCCCAGCCGGTGGTTGAGGCATCCGTGCAAACCACAGCATGCCTGGAGACCTGCTCTAGGGGCACTCCTGCCCGGAGAAACGCCAGGTCTGACCACGGGGTGAAGGTTTGGCGGCAGGCCGGTGTGACTCGGACCCGGTGAGTGCCGCGCTGCCACGCCCACCTCGGGACTCGGCAATGGAGCCAGTGTTGAAGCGGTCTCATATGAAGCAGCCCCAGCGGTGTGACTGCCGCTGCAGCTGCCATATGCCCCAGGAGTCTCTGAATGTATTCAAGCAGTTCAACACCGACTGAGCACGTTCCTGCGTGAGGCGTCCTGTCTGTTCTACTGAGTCCAACTCCATACCGAGAAAAGAGATCCTCTCCAAGGTTTTCCTTTTCCCAGTTGACCCGAATGCCCAACTGGCTGAGGTGCAAAAGCACCAAGTCCCTGTGTGCACACAACTGATCCTGAGACTGAGCTAGTACGAGCCAGTCATCGAGGTAGTTGAAAATGTGAATGCCCTGTTCTCTCAGAGGAATAAGGGTTGCCTCCGCAACATACGTGAAGATACGGGGTGACAGGAACAGCCCGGAGAGCAGGAGCTCGTACTGATATGCTTGTCCTTCGGAAGCAAACCACAGCAATGGTCTGTGGTGCGGAAGGATCGACACATGAAAGTACGCGTCCTTTGGGTCGATCGCTGCCAACCAATCTCAGGGATGGATGCACCCGAAGATGCGTTCCTGCGTCAGCATCTTGAACAGTAACCGGTGAAGGGCCCGGTTCAAGACACGCAGGTCCAAGATCAGTCGTAACCCACCACCTCTCTTGGGTACAATGAAGTAGGGGCTGTAAAACCCCATCTCCATATAGGCTGGAGGGACCGGCTATATCGCATCCTTCGCCAGTAGGACTGTGATCTCCGCATGCAAGACAGGAGCATCAGCCGCCTTCACTGATGTGAAGCGGATGCCGCTGAACTTGGGGGGATGCCGGGCGAACTGAATCGCATAACCGAGTCCGATGGTCCGCAGGAACCAGTGAGACGGTATGGGTAGCCAGGTACCCAGACACCACACAAATTGGGCCAGCAGGACCACCGACGTACCCATGGTGGGGCAGTGAGGTGGAACGCAGGGACCTGAAGAGGGGTCTGAGTGTGCAGTGCAACACTTACCTGGTTCCACAGTTTGGCAGAGGGTGCGTGAGTAGGGCCTTTGACGACGCTCTCGAAGTCCGTCCGCTACACTTCATGCCCTCTTGGAACCCAGAGACAGAGAAAAACGCTCTCCTGTCGAGATTTTTGGAAACCAGATTCTCCACCCGGCCCTCCTCCGGGGAAGGGAGAGGAGCATCCTTCTCTCTCTGGGTCGCCCGTCCCGAGGCCTCTTGCCCTTCCGCTCACTGCCAGGTTGACAGGGGCCTGGACGGGCGGGGCAGCCTGCCTACGCCCAGCTCCACGGCGTTGCTTGCTTGAGGCTGCTGCGGATGCAGCATGGGAGCGGGGGTGGACGCAGGGGTCCGCCCTCGGTAACGAGCAGGCTGGGGCTCTGCGGCCGGCAGACGGGTGGAGGCAGCAGCTGCCCGCCGGGGCAG